CAGGTCTTCTCTCTAATGATCCTTATCGTTCATTTACTGTGAAATACGCCGAGGTAAAAGGTAACATTGAATGGCATCAAATATTTTTAAGAGGTATTGGTGGTAATTGGCTTGTATGTCTTGCAGTTTGGCTGGGTACAAGTGCACGTGAATTACATTCAAAAGTAATCGGTATTTATCTGCCTATTTGGCTTTTTATTGCTGTTGGATATGAACACTCAATTGCCAATATGTTTACAGTTCAAATGGGTATGATGCTTGGTGCTGATCTGTCCGTTGGAAAATATATTTTGCGCACATTGATACCAGTTACACTTGGAAATATTGTAGGTGGAGGATTTTTCGTTGGTTTTACATATTGGTACCTTTATTTGGCGAAAAAAGTGGATACTGATTCTAAAATTGATTTTGAATCACCGGTTGGTAAAGGTTATCAAATTGTAAAACAACATGAGAAAATACAGCAAGCTCAACAATCATAATTTAGTTTATTAATTCACTTGTGGCAGAAACTTCGCAAAATTGCGTCTTATATCTGAAGAGTCATTCTTCTTTATTATAGACTGTTGAACTCTAACTCGTAAAAAGTTTAAAAAAAGTCAATAGTAGAGGCTCGTTTTAAGTTTAGAAAGGTGACTTATTTCATCTAATTGTCTAATCACCTTTTACCTGATTTATACTATCGCTGCAAAAGTTTTTCGTACGTACCAAACTTTTTTTTGTTTTAACGATAACACAGCAGAGGTGTGGGCTTTCAGCAAACGGTTTTCTCTAAAATGTTGCCCAGTCGACCGAGTATATTCGTAGAAAAAATAAAATTTAAAATATTAGTTATTCTTGTCTGTAGATCAAGATCAATCCTCGAGCACCTTCTCTTCGGGTACCAAAGAGCCGCAAAAATTTTCCGTACGACTAATGTAACTGACTTTTTGACTCGTCAAGAAAGTTTAAAGCTATGAAAACTATATCAGCGGAAAGCGGAGAAGGTAAAGAACATTTTGGCAAAAGAAGGTTTTGGAAAAAAAACTTTCTCGGGGTTGGCAGATAGATTTTAAGGTTAAGTTGACATGGTCAACATGAGAACACTCTATCTCGGTAGTGAATGAATGAAATTCTTTTTTAGACATACGAAGGGAAAGAACATCAGAAACTGCGTAAGAAAACGGTTGATTTAAAATTTTACAAAAAAATGTTGGCCCATTTTTTCGCCTGTTTGTTACGAACCCCATTCAAAGCATTCCCATTTTTACAGGTTTTTAACTTTTTATCATTTTCTTTGTTTTTAATGAAAATCAATAACATATTCAGAATCAGGAAATAAATTGGATCAAAAAGGCAAGTCTTCAAATTTTCTAAAAGATTTTGTTTGTTTATGAAAGCGAATGAACCGTACAATGCAGCTTTTTTCTGGAAATACTTTTAGGTACTTTTATTAGTCAAAATACGCGTATCTTCCTTGACAGTTAAATCTGAACAAAATAAATCGCTCAAATTTCTTTCACATTCTTTATTTTGGCACAACAAAGTCAGAAACGATGCACTTGAGTCATTTACGTGTTTTTTTTCTTTCTTCTTTTGCTATGTAAAACAAAAGAAGAGTATGTGCTTGGATAGAATCACACTCTTATAGAGCTGGAGCAGTTCGTATCACTTTATTTTGATCAAAATAAAGTAAAATTCCACAGCGAAAGAAGAATTATTCAAAAGATTTTCGTTCTTTGGTTATCAAATATTATAAAAATGGTAAAAGTTTAGGAGAAATAGGTCGAATGTACTCCAAAAATTACCAGAATCCTCGGTTAAGGGCTCCCCTCAGAAATGGTGATTTTCGGTCAAAAAAGCGGTTTTGAGATACGCACACGAAAAGATAGCCTGAAATGTCTACTTCCAGAATCTGTATTGTTTTTAGTTACAAAAGTGGTTTTTCGGGGATTTTGAGCAAGTTTTCTAAGAGCCTCGAAAAAACGGATCTTCAAATAATGGTCTTTCCCTGGATACTTATGCAATTAAATTTTTTCTGAAAACACAGCTTTGTAAAGCAAACGTTTCTGATCAAAATAAGACTGCGCACAACTCTGTATGACCTTGCGTCAAAAAGTTACAGGCATTTCCTAGAAGTCCTAAAATCGAGTATTTCAT